GGTTATTTAAAGCGGCAAATGACCACCAAACCTTAATCTTAGCAGACAAATGTGCCTATGAAAATCGTAAACGTGAATTGTTGGTGAAAATGTTGGACCAAAAAGTTTCAATAAAATATATAAAAATTTTGGGCGGGACGAAGTTCGCGGGGTCTGCTAGTATGCTAATATATGCTAAGAAGCTACTTACGTACTAAATTTGAAGCAAATCGGACTATAATAAAATTTTTTAGAATAGACCTGGTCCACCTACCCGAAAAAAAAGTAAATTTTTTTTAGCCTAAAACATGGTGGTTACCGAAAGCTATTTGTATACAAAATTTCATGAACATCTGACCAGCCGTTCGCGAGATTACCTGTTACAAAAAAAAGGGACTTCTCTTTATATAATTAGTATAGATTAGACTGCATCACCAAAAAAAGTTGCAGTTTTTCCACCAGGATTACAAAATGTATTATATTTTAAGACGTCCACCAAAATATTTCGGAAAAATATTAAGATTTAATTGAGCTTCACCGAATTGAATATACCTCCAAAAATGTAGTTTTTTATGAATAAAAATTGTTTCTTAAAGAACTTTTTGAAAAAAGTCCCCTCAGATGACAAAACATATTAAGCTTAAAAAATCTTCATAAAAATATTTAAAAATCTTTTCAACGGAATCGTAAGAATGAGATATTTGATGCTGTTTTTTTTTGTCTTTTTTCAAAGATTGATTTACGAAAAACTTGAATAACTGGGCCAAAACTATTCTGATTTAGACTTATGGGTTCTCATTTGAAAGGTATTTTTACACTCTTTTTATTTCTGTCCAAACAAAAAGTCATTCGTGTCCCAATATTTTTTTTTCAAATACCAAAACATCTTAATTCAACTTTGAATGACGTTCCTTCATCCTACCTTTCTCTTTCATCCTTTGAATGAGTTTGTTAGTAAAGAAATAAAAAGGTAGAGGAAATACCTTTCCAATGATACCCCTTAAGTCTAAATCGGAAGAGTTTAGGTTCAGTTATTCAAGTTTTTCTTATAACAATCTTTAAAAAAAGTTAAAATACCAGCATAAAAAATCTCATCATTACGATTCCGTTCAAAATTTTTTGTAAATATTCTTCTGCAACTTTTTTAAGTTTAAACCGTTTTGTCATTTGAGGGGATTTTTTCAAAAAAATCTTTAAGAAACTATTTTTATTCATAAAAAACCCCATTTTTGGAGGTATTTTCAAATCGGTCCAGCTCACTTAAATCTTAATATTTTTCCGAAATATTTTGGTGGACGTCTTAACATATAATAGATTTTATAATTCCAATGGAAAATAGTACTGATTTTTTTTGTATGAGGAGTGATGCAGTCTAATATATATTATCGAAATCGGTTGACGTGATCCAAAGTTATGCGGTAACATACATAAAAAAAAAGTAAAATAAAAAAAATATTCCGACGAACTGATAACCTCCTCCTTTTTTGGAAGTCGGTTAAAAAGAGCCAAAACGTTTTAAGCAAAAAGAAAGTAAAAAGAGCCGCACTTGCCCACCGTTGTTATAATAGATTTATCGTAATATGAAAGTAATACAAAACTTTAAAATTTTAATAATTCCAATGGAAAAATAGTACTGATTTTTTTTGTATGAGGAGTGATGCAGTCTAATATATATTATCGAAATCGGTTGACGTGATCCAAAGTTATGCGGTAACATACATAAAAAAAAAATAAAATAAAAAAAATATTCCGACGAACTGATAACCTCCTCCTTTTTTGGAAGTCGGTTAAAAAGAGCCAAAACGTTTTAAGCAAAAAGAAAGTAAAAAGAGCCGCACTTGCCCACCGTTGTTATAATAGATTTATCGTAATATGAAAGTAATACAAAACTTAAAATTTTTATACGTATTAAATATCTATTAATTCAATGTTATCTCAATAAGACTAACACTATAAAATAGTTTCCTTAATTGTTGTGCAGTGTTGCCACAAAAAAATTACCAAATTCCTCAAAAACAAATGAAAAAGCCTCAAAATCCTTTTCTTATTACAGATATGAGTGTTATGTACTGCATACTATATACAAGTACTTAGTATAAAAATTAGTTACATTCTCCAATTCAATTGGTACATTTGTTCGGATCAAACAAAGTATCACCGTTATTTTTTATGCTTTGGTTTCTATATAATATTGCTGCAACTATATCAGTGCTGAATCTGGTCTTCAAGTCAGTCCTACACATTTTTAATCTACTAGATATACGCTCTACTGAAGCATTAGAAAAGGGCTATATTAGTAATGCAGATATAATTTTTTTAATTGGGAAACTTATATGAATCTGAAGAATCTTTTAATTCAAAAACTGTTTTTCTATAGTTTTCTGGATCTAATGAAGAATCAATATAAATATCCTTATGATCGAACAATGCGTGTTCTCTCCATTCGTTACCGAGATTTTGTAACTTCAAAATAAAATGAAAATATAACGATGGAATGAAAAAATTGTCGATAACATTTTGAATATTTAGCAGCAATTCAGATGTGCGGCATGACAAACCAAGCGATGTATCCCTTTGCTTAAAGCTATTTATGTTGCGCACGGGGGTGTTTGAAGGTTTGACTAGCCGTTTGAGGGAAATGTGAACAAAAATCAAAATTTTTTGAATTTCTGGCCGTGATATTGACGTTTAATCAAAACGCTAACTTTGTGCATGATAAAATCGCCTAATTCGCAACGGAATTTTTACCGAATGAGGACGCAAGAGAGAAAAATCGAAGAAACCCAAACTCTTTTACATTATGAACCGGAAGAAAACTAAAATTCTTTGCTTTAACGAGTCATGTTTGCATGGTGTGTGGTGAAATGGGAAAAGTAGGTTTGACAAGCCACTTGTGTGTTGTATTTCGCTCTTTATAAACAAAAACTTTTTGTTCAAAAATTTGCAAAGCGATTTAACAACTCTGTTATGTAAAACATGGTTGCATTTGTTATCTGCAAATATATCGAGAGAAAATTCCTCAAAAACTCCTCAAAATAAAAATTCTCAAAAAATACTCAAGCGCGCCCGAAATTCCTCACGTTTTGAGGAATTACTCACAAAGTGGCAACACTGTTGTTGTGTTAGGACAAATCAATAAATAAAAAAAAAATTATAAAAACTTATATATGTATAAAAATATTGCATACGCACTTTAAGAAGAACTTTGTTATACACGTTTGTTTAATTATGTAATCGGTTACATTGGTTCTAGAAAATCATTTCTTTTAAGTATTTTTTCTTATAAGCGTTTTTTATATACATATGTATGTATGTATGTATACACAAACCTACGTGCATTTGCCTTTAAATACATATGTATGTACCTACATACATATGTATATAGTTAATGCATCGCGTTGGGCTTTGTGCAGGAAACAGCTTTCTTATATCCATTTCTTTCTTTTAATACATATGTATGTATGTATGTATGTAGGTATACACGTTCTTATAAACAATATACAGATAACACAATCGATTTTGGACACCATGGCCCTCGCAACCGGCATGTCATTACGCTTTCACCAATACTTATGCCTTAGCGGCTACTACGTAGACTCTGCCGCGACGGGCATTAGCAGCGACGGCGATGTTGGCAGCGGCAGCGACAGCGGTAATGGCAGCAACGAAACGCTTGCCAGTTAAGCACAGAACAAAGTCGCATAGAACAGCAGTAACATATCGTTGGCGTCGTCGGTATTACCGAATCAACTAGCAAGCGGTCACAACGTATCGGCCGAGGTAGAATTAAGAGGGAATATTTACAATTTTATGCAAAACATAAACTCATTGCACACCATATAAGTAGAATAGAAAGAAAGCGTGGCTGGTATGAAATTGAAGAACTTTAAATGCTAAAACGGTAATAACCACTACAAACGGTAATAACCACTACAAACGGTAACAACCCCTACAAACGGTAATAACCACTGTGAAAAATTACAAAGAATATGAAAATTAAGATTTTTTGTGGGAAAACCCAAAAGAAAATATGTTATACAAATAATAATAATAATAGATTGGCGCTTACACAAAATATGTTATGCTAATTATTGGAATTTGTGCAGTGAATATCGACTGAATCAAATTTAAGTATACTACTTACATACATATGTATAAATATGTATGTATGTATGTATATGTCCATACGTGCATACATAGAAACATATCGCTACATAAAGGTGAAAACGTGCCAGTTCCATTTTTTTTAAATTAGTTTTTGATGCAGAATGGCAGGTAATACGAAACTACATCAGTTTTTCGTCTCTCCTGAACAATTTAAAAATAATAGACTTGGCACCTTTTCCTTAGTGACGATATGGTACCTTAATGTATCTATTGATCGAAAAATACGGCAATATACATACATATATGTACGTGCATATGCTGACCTAGCCGAAGGTAAAATGTATCTGTCGATGATTGGACCAGTTATTCAACGCGAAAGCTAAAGTTGAGTGAATAAATACTCAAGTAGCTACATATGTATGTATGCACATATCGTACGTTTAATAACATAGAGAATTATTTCAAAATTTAAATTTTATGGGAAAACGCAATCATAGTTCGTTTAGTTCATACAATTGGTATACCAAAAGACAGATGGAAAGACGCATATCTTCATCATTTTTGGGAAGTTTAGTCATCTGTTAGACTAAGAATATTCTCCTTAGTCTGTGTTTATACGCGGAAACTTTTGTCGACGCTATTTTTCATTTTCCCTTTTGGTGTTGCTCGTTCCTTTTACACACGGCGATTTTTTTGTATGCAATTGTTTTTGTCAGCTGTGAACCCATGAACCAAAAATACAATATCACGTAAGAACGCGACGTTGTATTTGTAACTTGTTTTGAGAAAAAGATTCATGGAATAGGGTTCGTCAGCTGAGCGTTTGTTTACATCACAAGCACCACAATTTATACTTTTATTTAACTAAAGAAGAGTTAATTCAACATGACAACACATTTTAAAGCATTTTAGTGGCTGACAATAATTTTGGCTAATTTTTGTTTTCTTTGCTTTGTTTACTTTTAGCTCGTTTTCCCGCGAAATAAGATGGCGTAGAACCCGCTCAAGAAACCGACTTTTTTCACTCTCTTGTGCTTACGTGATCTTGTGTCGTTCGTTCATGCTGTGACCCGATTGAGAAAATACAAAGGTTGCGCCGATCTCGGACCGCTATTCCTCTCTTAAGAAATTTGACAGAATCGTTGTTTGCATGGCGTCACACTTGTGCAACTTGTTTACGTTTTCCTTGCAACATTTTTTCTTCTTCTTCCATTCTTGCTCACGTTTTGGCATTTCTCTCTCGCAATTGCACCAGTGTGACGTCACACAAAAGTTATTCTCAAAAATCCTCTCTGATCGGCGCAATCTTGTATTCTATCATTCTTGATGCTGTGAACCGCTAACTCAATTTACACAGACGAACGAGAGCACAAAGCGTGTTGCCCGAGCACGAGCAACTCGGTGCCTCTCTCCTTTCTTCGTCACGCTCTCTCCAACAAACGTCGAGTTGCGGCAACAAAAATCGCCGTGTTTGAATGAGCACTTATCAAGCTTATTAATTGTATGTAGAAATCTCCAAAAGCGTAGATTTTGAATTACAACTCTATGTTATTAAACGTGCGATATGTATGTATGTATATACGTTCGCTATTACGTTATCATATATAGTTGTCTCTTTTCAATTAAATATTATTATGCTACAAATATCGCGTTAAATAATGCAAAAAATGCCACATGAATATCGCTAAGCTGCAAATGTGTTGGTTTTTATTTACAATTTTGTAAGTGGATTGGATAATGCGTTATGTCGGTTCTGCTGGGTATATACCAGCGTGAAATATGTTCCCCATTGCAAAAAAAAAAGTATTTTGAAAGGTATATGTATGTGCATATCACATTCTATGCATATACTATGTATATGTACATTTGTATGTATAAAACGAATAAGAACAAATTAAAAAAATAAAACGTACTTTGTATATGTAGACACACACTTATAAGTACATACATCAACTAAAAAGGTAAGTAGATAAATATCTAGGTATGTATTTATAAAATTTCCTCAACCTGATTAACAAAAATGTGAAGGTTTGGTGTAAATACATGCGTACATTCATATGCAAAAATTATAGTGATGGCATGATAAAAACAAATTAAATTTATCTTCATATACACATATTTATATTGACACTCTTAAATTGCGGGTATTAAAATATCCTCAAAGATGTACATATGTACCTACATCATATATGTATGTAATACTCCTATATTGGCGGAAAGAGCTAGTACCGTCCGAAAACACTACAGTACAGATATATCAATAAACACGTACGAAAGAAAAGGAACACATACGTTTATAAATAAACATGTGCACAACACATATACAAAAACGGCACTCAAGTACACAACACATTGACAAAAACGGTACTAGACTGTCTCGCTTTGATTTCGGAATGCTTACACATTGAGAAGTTAGCTTACTGCCAATATAGAAGTTAGTCTGTTCCAATAGCAGTCCGGTTTACAGGATTTAGTCAGAACTTACAGGAAGTCGTTCCTATTGACATAAAACCTGTAAGTGGGAACACATTTGAGAGAGTAACTGAGCAACTGTTCCTAGTCAGAAGTTACAGGATTTAGTCCGGAGTTTCTTTTCCTGTAAGTTCATGAAAAGTGTCAAACGATCAGCTGATTTGCATGTGCAAGCAAAAACTAACAGCGGTGAAAGCAAAGTGCCTTAAATTTGTAAAAAAATGAAAATAAACAACGAAATGTTTGAATATGTATAGATTTTAATAATTATTTAGTGATATTTCAGCTAAATCAGTGTTGTACAAATGACATGTAAACAAACCGACTGACGTTTTTACAGGAAATAGTGCTTTTTGCGTTCCTATGCACTTCTGCATCTGTTCTCCTTTTACTCTCATTTGAGAGAGTAAAATTGTAGTTTGACAGTTCCACAGGTTTTAGTCCGAAGCTCAAAGGAACAGACTAAGTATTACATATATGACCTACATACATACATACATATGCACGAACATTTGCGAACATTTTGTAAGATATTTATAGTACTTAAAAAAAAAAAAACTGAAAAAATATGGTACACTTCAAATATATATAGTAGTATATTTAAAAGAACAAGTAAAAACGCTTTTTAAGTAAACATCTTTTTTCTTAATATATTTCTTTGCTCCTTTGGTAGTTTTTCACAATTCCTTGTTAACCACGAAAGTATTATATACTTTATCGCAATCAATATTAAAATTAATATAAATCAAAAATTTAATTTTGTTAGTAAGGTATTTCACATCCATAACCGAAAAAACTCTTCCAGTGAATGCCGAAGTAGCAGGAATAGAGAGTAGAAATGAAATAATTTGAGCGTGTATGAATCGGTAACAAAGTTCGCGGCGAGTAAATTTTTGACAACTACGAATAAAATTTTAGTAGCTCATGAGGCTAGTGAAATTTTTGACAAATGCATAGAAAATTTTGACAATCGCAAGGACTGTTGATGTGTGTAATTTTTCGTTAAATAAAAGCATAAATTGATGAATTGCAATCAACGATGGTAGACTTTTTCTTATAATATTAATTTCACTTCAATTTGTAATATTTTATTCGGCATAAATCTGCGGTTATCAAAAATTTACCGCTGACAAAAAAGATTTCATTTCACACAGCAGATTGGCAAAACTGTCTCACCATAGTAGTGGTATTCATCTAAACCGATAACTTTATCAAGCAGATAATCTTATAAGTTTATGCACTCTGTTACATGAACGACCCACACTCTCTTTTCGTTTACACATTCGACAATAGTCGTGTTTTCTTTGGTTATAAAGCGCAGTGTCACTAACTTTATACTTCTAGCACGGGGATAAAGAAATTATAGAAACTACCTCACTAAATTGGAAAAAATTATATTTACGAGATATCTATTTAAATAAATGTACATATAACATAAAGGCTATTTATTTGAAGCAAGTTACAAGAAACAATTGCAGAATGTCTGTTTGTGTATGAATTCATTTATCACGGCTACCAAACTTTGCGAATTATCAGTGAAACAAAACAAACAGACGGGATAATAATTGAACCAGATCTCTATCAGGATCATATATTTGCGTGCAAAATTTGTATGCTGATCCCGATTATTGCCTAAGAAAACATAGCTAGAGTTGCGACAGAGTTGCATTGTCTTCAGTTTATCAAGTTTATTCAGTGAAATCGCTGGATAAATTTATCAGAAATGTGTAAACGAGTTTCCATACAAATTTTGACAGTTCATTTATAAGGTTTACACAATTATAAGTTTATACGGTTTACAATGCATTTATAAGGTTTGATGAATACCCTTAGTAAAAATATTATTAAACAGCTTTCCCCATAGAACTTTGTTACCGATTCACACACGCCCTTTAAAGTAAATTTGGTGATTCATTACACTATGCGACAGTCAAAATCGGGATGGGATGAAACCAACGGGAAATGTTATATCGGTCAAAAATAAGTTATACGTGTCCCGGCGTTTCGCTGGGTCACGTCTAGGAATCGAGATATATATATAACTATCATATAGGGGAAATTGTCACCTTTGGTGGTCTTTTTTTGACATAACTCGAGAACCACTAGTCCGATTTTGCTCAAACAAATTTAAAAAAATTAAAAATTACAATTCCTGTAATCTGTTCATATAACGTTTTTCTATATAATCAACAGTTTTGCCGGTAAAAATAAATGTATGAAGAAAAAAAATATTTTTTGCCTAAAATATTAAATTTTTTTAAAACTGTTGATTATATAGAAAAACCTTATACAAACAGATTAAAGGAATTCTAATTTGTAATTTTTTTAAATTTGTTTGAGCAAAATCGGATTAGTGGTTCTCGAGTTATGTCAAAAAAAGACCACCAAAGGTGACAATTTCCCCTATATGATAGTTATATATATATCTCGATTCCTAGACGTGACCCAGCGAAACGCCGGGACACGTATAACTTCTTTTTTACCGATATAACTTTCCCCGGTAGTTTGAACCCTTCCCGATCACTGACCCCTACCATTTGTCTCACAGTGTTATCAGCGATTTTAAAAATGCTTCCATTTTTGATGTGTGGTTCTATTCATAAACTCACCACCACCTTTTATTTTGAAGAATATTTCTTGTAATATTGTTATTTCAGTATAAAGGTCATCCATTTTCATGCACATATTTTCTTACATATTACTGAAATTTCCCAGCCAGCAAGGAAGCTTAAATTTTGCCGACAGTGCAGTTTAGTTAAATTTTCCGTATCCGAAAACGCAAAAAAAACTCCTACAGTTATCATCAATTTTCGTATCCGGAAAACGTTCGAAAAAGGTGATGTCAGTTGAAAGCAATAATTGTATTTTATTTACTCAAGCTAAACATTTGAAAGCATGCATTCGTAGTTGGCAATGGCTGAGCGTGCAGAGGAGTGTGCCGCTATTTGTTAGCTTCCAGAAGGTGCCGAATTCCGTCAGGCGCTACCTAATTTTTTTTCTTTTGAACCATGAAAAAGTATCTGTGAAGTGCAGAAGGAAAGCGTATTGAACGAAAAATTGAATCAGACAAATTTCAGAAAAAACAGCAGAAAACGTATCCGTTTCACATACTCTTGTGTGTACATACGTTTCTGCCGCACACTTTTGTGGGAAAACGGATCGTTGAAGTATCCGAAAATCGAATCAGTAAACGGACAAAAATCCGCACTTCATCCACTTTTTTGTACTTTTTCGGATCGGTTTTCGGATTTTTGGCTGGCTGGGTTATTTATATTTATAACTGAAAAAATGTAGTATTTTTGCGAACTATATATTTTTTCAACAGTACATATATAGTACGCAGACCGAAAAAATAGTACAATACTATATATTATAGTACGTTTGGCAACCCTAGCATATACGTTAATTTATAAAAGTACATTTATACATTTGTATGTGTATGCACACCTATATACATACATATGTATGTATATATGATCAAGTACTAATGAAAGCCGAACGGAACCTAGGTCAATACTGTTTCTAGTGCGACAGGAAAAATTATTAGTGGCGTGCGAGCTTACAGCGAAATATATATGTACATATGTCATACAAACGAGCATACATACATGTACATATACATACATACATAGATGTGGAGTGAACGAGTGCATTAGATGAAAGTAAATAAATCTGTATATGTACATATGAACACACGTTCATATATACTCGGTACTGTACATACATACATAAATCTGTACATACCCTGCAGCAATAAGGCGGCCAATTTTCCGTTAAGGACTAGTACTTCACCGGTTATAATTTGACTGGTCAGAATTGGACATTTGCTTGCATCGAAAATGTCAGCCTTCGACTAGTCCCCAAGGAACCGGCCTAGAGATAGACGAAAAGTACAGTTTGGCACTGACAGGGTGGTGTTGTCTTGCAATTCAATAAAAAAATTTAAAGAACACCACCCTGTAAATGTCCCAATCGCTTGGTCTGGCCTTGATGCAAAGTGAACATTTGAACACACATTTACATGCGTGGCTGTAGCTCAGTGCGCAGAGATGCTTGCCACTATATGTTAGCTTGCAAGAATGATAGAATACAAGATTGCGCTGATCAGAGAGGATTTTTGAGAATAACTTTTGTGTGACGTCACACTGGTGCAACTGCGAGAGAGAAATGCCAAAACGTGAGCAAGAATGGAAGAAGAAGAAAAAATTTTGCAAGGAAAACATA